GCATCACAAGTTGGGTATAGCAATTTCTTGTGATCCTCTTGCATGCGCTCGAACTTGATCTTCTCCTTTTCACTTTTACATTCTCTTTGTGCATCACGAATGGCTTGACCAAGATCATCAGCGGGCTCATCTTCTGCCCCTACCTCTTCTTTAGCTTCCCCCATTGTAGTATCATTGAGGGCACCATATTCAGCAATAATGCCATCATCGTCCCATTGTTCTTCTTCACCTTCTTCCATTACAACCCCGATTTCTCCGTGCTTCATCCAACAAATATAGTTTGACATGAAACCCGACTTCAACAAGTGTGAATGAAGACTCCTTGAGCTAGCATATTCCTTCAAATTTTTACATATGGCACATGGGCAGCACATGAAACCATCACGTTTGTTTGCCTCAGCCACACGTAAGAAAGAATGCATGCCCTCAACGAACTCTTGGGAGCGGCGATCAGCATTGTACATCCAATGTCGACTCATCTGCATTACATGACATACATACCATATTAAAACCTAAAACATAATTAGTTAATTATACGACATGCATGCCACCACACAAGGTATTAATTTATGAAAGTATCGCTACAATGTAGACAATCCCAACTACCACTAAAAAAACTAAAGCTAAAATGCACTTCAGCAGCATAAGGATTTCGCGACCAATCCTAACTAAAACAGATAGATCATACGTTTGTTCAACATCTATGGGCTTCTTCCGCAGGATCACTGCCTCATTAGCCGCCATAGCCGCCTGTGCAAGAGAGTTTTGCACGTGTTCAACATACTCTTCCTCCCAGTACCAGCCTAAACATCCAGTACCATCCCACTAAAATTAAAAAAAAAATTAGAACTCTAATCACAATCATCATGAAAATAAGTATAAATTAACCATAATCATCAAATGCGACAAAATAACTCACATTGCCATCCGGACACTTGTAGAAGATACGGCCCTTGTTGGGACACTCCTTCCTTACCCGATACTCTATCACAATCTTCTCCTCGCACTGGCCGCATGCAATGAGAGGGAGGTCCGACCTCAGTCGCTTTGGAACCCGATGAGAGGCCGAGGACCCAGAAGCAGTTGCTATCTACTCTCTATACTCATTTTTAATATAATATAAATTTCTCATTTTATAAACAAATAAAATTAAAAAAACTCTAAAATTCTCTATATCTCTAAACCATGAAGTGTGCTATGCATGCTAAAAATGAAAACTGAATACTAGTTTTGAATAACTACTTTAACCTTCCTTCATCCAAATATGCAAACTTTAAAGTGATTTTGAGCTTAAATGGCTTACAAATAAAAAAAAATCCACCATAAAAACCACATATATCTAGTCCACAAAATGAGATATGCTAATAATAAAATATGAGAATATAAAGTTGGTAACCTTTAGAACCGAAGAATCGATGGAGGAATCGAAGAAATCTTGTGATTACCAGCGATGAGGAAGAAGAGAGGCCGGCGATATGAAGCAAGAACACTGAGCTCGAAGTGGCTCGGGCTCGGGGAGGAAGAAGGAGTATATAGGAGGGACCTTTAGTCCCGGTTGGAGACAACAACCGGAACTAAAGGTCACTTTCTAGTCCCGGACGGAGCCTCCAGCCAGGAGTAGACTTTTACTCCCGGTTGGAGGGATCAACCGGGAGTAAAAGTTAACCTTTAGTCCCAGTTGGTAGCTCCAACCGGGACTAAAGGTCCCCTGCAGCAAAAGCTTGCCGCAGTAGCCGTTGGGCAGGGACTAAATGTTTCTCTAGTCTCGGGCGCGAAAAATACCAGGATTAAAGCTAAATTTTGAAGTGGATCAAATGTCATTTCTCTACTAGTGTTTAGGGATGGGCATTCGGTTAACCGAAACCGATCGGTTCGGTTCTTGGTTTTCTATGAAATTCGGTATAGTGGTTTTTTCTTTCTATACTGTAATACTGGTCTTTTGAGGTTTGTTTGTTCAAAAGGATAGGTAGTGAGCACTTGGTTCCCTTAACCTTACCGGTTTGTTTCCCCCTTAATAGTATGATTTTTTCTATACTCAAATTCAAAACAAAAATTTAAAGTAAGCCTTCGATGGTCAATACGGCGCTGTGATTTGAATTGGGGGGGGGTTCTCCTTGTGTTTCATGCACCCACGTATGCTTACAATATGTCCATATCTCACAAATATCATTACACCCTTACTTGTACTAATATCAATGTGCCAAAACCAGCCCATTAGGGTCCTAGATGCACTTTCAACCGCGCCCTCCCAAAAACTTGATCGTTTGGCACACCCGAGCACTATAACATTTAACATGGGCAAAGGTTTATTTGATTTCATTGAATTAAAAATGGACCAAGCATAAATTAAATCCAATGAGAGATCAAGCTTGCCTGCAAATGAGTCATTGTCCCAGCGTTTCCAGCTAAGCGTTGGATGAGCTGAGCACGTTATGATGTAGTAGCTCCTAATGACATCAGGCATATGTGTTTGGACCGTATATGTATCAATGAGCCAAGTTCTATCTAATTAAACAGACTACAAGATGTTGGACCAACATGCACCCACGTAGATAGTTGCCACATTAAATTGGACAAATCACAAGATGTTGGACTAACATGCACCCACTCGGATAGTTGTTGTATGGTGAGTGTAATTTACTCAAAATTGTGAGTTTCAAGTGATTCTCCATAAAACATTTCTCCCTTTCTGACGTTTGACAGCTATTCTAGTGGTTTTATTGAGAATCTAAAACGTTTCTCACTACCAAACACACTTAACCACAAGCACACTGTACGTTCTTTCAAAACTCGATTTAATAACCATGTACAAGCACTTCTTCCAAAGGGCAAAACAGGTGAGTTGGGTCAACTTTGCTAATGCACGAGATCTCTACCGTTTATGGCAAGGGCAGCGAAGACAATGCAATTAGCATCTTCCTCCTTGCTCCTCTCGTAATTAAAGAAAAGTAGGTCCGGCATCATCTAATAACCACTTAAAAACGTGCCATTTCGGCTGCACAAGAAGCTGACAAATGGCACAATCTCAGTTCAAAGAGCTAGCAATTAATCTCCGGTTGCTAAAACTAAACTACGCATCCGTTTACCATTCAACTCCAAAACTGTCGTCACCTTCACGCATTTCATAATGCAAAGCCTGCAAGAACGGCTAAACTAATCCCGGATTACGTTAATTAATCCCCCTCCTGAGCCCAAGTTGCCCTAACATATATATATTCTTCCTCTTCTTCTATTATTGTGCGAGATGCGATGGCGTGAATAAATGAATAATCCTTGGCGCCTTTGAACCTGGGAAAGAGAAGAAAAAGAGGGAGATAAGAGAGGCATCCTGCCCTTTGGCCTTTGCCCCGGCCCGGCTTTTTTGAAATAACAAGAGATACCATATTCGACCAATGCAAGTTAGAGAGAGAGAGAGAGAGCTGTATTAGTTCGTACAATAGATATTTTGGACCCTAAACTAAGTTTTTTTTGTTTTTAATTTCAGCAATTAATTAATATAATACTCCCTCCGTATTGGTAATTCAAATCGTTTTGGACAGTGATATGGTCTCCAAAGTATAATTTTGATTTCTTATTTTTATAAAAATGTTTATTGAAAAGTGATATATGTATATTTTTATGAAAGTATTTTTCAAGACAAATCTATTCATATGGTTTTCACATTTCTAAACTCAATAACTTAAAAGTTATTCAAGATTTATATTCCTAATGTTTGACCCAAGCCTTGTTCAAAACGACTTGAATTACCAACACGGAGGGAGTACGCATTTGTAGATACCATCTTTGGTTATGGGGCTAAACAAATTCTGTGAAGGCAAAGACTCTGAGGAGGCCCCTTTTATTTGGTAAAAAGGGTGCTGTGCATCTGTTCCACTAGTGTGAATGATGCCCTTGCCATTGGTCTAGGAACCTCAAAAATCTTTGTGAGATGCCTAGCTTTGCATTGCTTGAGGTGACACGGGCAGTGGCCAGGCTGTGGAGTATGCCATGCTATCACATGGAATATTTTGGTGTTTCCACTGTCTTTATCTTCAATTTGGAACTCTGGTCTCCAAGTTCTGGAACTTCATATATATATTCGGGTCGATTTGCATACGATAGATGCTCCACTGCCGCCACAGCACTAGGTAAGTCTCAATTTTCATTCAGACGAACGTGAATGTACTCCCTTGATCCTAATTTTTGCAAGACCCTTTTGGCTTTTCTAGATGTACAGTGTTTACTATATTTTTAGATATGTACTATGTCTAAATGCATAGTAAAAACAATGTATTTAGAAAAAAAAAAGCATCTTACGATTTGGAACGGAAGACATAGAACAGTGGGGGCAGTCACACACATTGTTCCATTATATGCAAATAATGACGTACTTAGCTATATACATAAAACAATATATAAGATATGCTCTCTGAAATTTGAATAGTATAGTTTCACGGTGGCACATAAGCAGTCCTTGCTTCAAAAGCAAGAATTCAATTTTATGTTTTAGATAACGGAGTTAAATCTTGATTGAAATTTGTTTTTTAGTTCAACCATGGAACTCGTTTCTGAATACTTAGTAAGTTGATTTATTTCATCTGAAATTCTTGTAAATCTATAGAACATATGTGTTCTTTTTTTTTCACGAACAGGTCTCTCCGGCTCGTGTTTCATTAAGAGGAGAATATATTTTTTTAGAAAGGCGTAATTTTTTTTTAGAAAGGCGATTAAGAGGAGAATATATGTGTTCCAAACGTACATAGTAGTAGTAGTTTTTGACTTCACCATAAGCTAGCTGACTAGCTCCTAGTCCTAGCAGGGCAAGAATCTTGCAATGCTCCCATAAACACAATGATCTTGTGTTTGCTTTGCTTTGTGTCGGCATCAATACCGTCCTCCCACTCGCATCTCTCCTACAGTACATACCAAGCTGCTAGCTTTGCTCCCTCCTTTCCAACTTTAAAAGGAGATCATCTCTCTTGCACCATCTCTCCATCCATCCCCACCCAAGGACCAAGGGCATGAAGAGCAGGAAGGGCTACGGGCACCAGGGCCACCTGCTGAGCCCGGTGGGCAGCCCGCCGTCGGACAACGAGTCCGGCGCCGCGGCAGCGGCGGCCACGGCCGGCGGCGGCAGGTGCGGGAGCAGCGTGGGGTACTGCGGCGGCGGCGGCGAGTCGCCCGCCAAGGAGCAGGACCGGTTCCTGCCGATCGCCAACGTGTCGCGCATCATGAAGCGGTCCCTTCCCGCGAACGCCAAGATCTCCAAGGAGGCCAAGGAGACGGTGCAGGAGTGCGTGTCCGAGTTCATCAGCTTCGTCACCGGGGAGGCCTCCGACAAGTGCCAGCGCGAGAAGCGCAAGACCATCAACGGCGACGACCTGCTCTGGGCCATGACCACGCTCGGCTTCGAGGCCTACGTCGCCCCGCTCAAGTCCTACCTCAACCGCTACCGCGAGGCCGAGGGCGAGAAGGCCGCCGTGCTCGGTGGTGGTGGCGGTGGCGGCGCGTGCCACGGCGACGGCGTGGCGGACGACGGCCCGCTCGCCGCGGGCCGCGTCATCGCGCCGCCGTCCGGGGGCGGCGCCGGTGACCGCGCGGGCCACGACGGCGCCGCCGATGCCGACGCGCACGTCGGGCTCATGATGGGAGCAGGCAGCGTCGTCGGGTTCGGCGCGGGCGGCGCGGCGGCGGCGTCGTACTACACGGCAGCACGGAAGTCGTATGGCGCGGGGGAAGCGTCCAAGGTGATGGAGTTCGAAGGCATCGGCGGCGAGGAGGAGAACGGCGGCGTGCAGAGGGGGAGAGGGTTTGCCAACCACCTCCACGGCGCCGTGCAATGGTGAACGGCGTAGCTAGGTATAGAAGACGACGACAAACGATACTTGCATGGTGTTGGTGTTGCACACTCTTGCACCTGCACCTGCACTGCTGGCTGCTGCTCGTGCAGTGCTTCGTAACTAAATTTGCGTACTAATTAATTGCTGTTTCTGCTTTCCGTCAAATGTTTAATGAGTTCATTTGAATTTAAACTCAAAGTATTTCTATTGACCTGGAAGAAGTTCAGCTAGTTGTTCAACGAGGTAAACTGCTTTGATGAATAGTACTGTTAACTGACTTGATCGAACACCATTATAAATGCAATTACATAGAAGTATACAAAATCACCCAAAGTAGCTGAGAAAGTGCGACTTGTACGCGTCTATGTGCGCCGGGTGCAGCGACACGGACGCCTGGACGCCGCCGCCCTTCCCGGCCACGAGGACGACCTGCCCGTCGTGGTTCATGGTGACCAGCTCCGTCCTGCCGGGCGGGCCCCACCCGAAGTCGGCCGCCTCGTACGCGGGGAACCTCGTGGACCCGGCCAGGTTCATCAGCCGGTCCATGTCCACCCGCCCCAGGGTTGTCATCCAGTCCCACCCGGCCAGCGGGTCCTCCTCGGCGACCGCCGCCGCCGCGACGCCCGCCCCGCCCTCGGCGAGGAGGCCCCCCGCGGTGGCCCGCGCCAGGCACCCGGAGATGCACGTCCCGAAGTAGCCGTCCCCCGGCGGCGGGTCCAGGCGCGCCGGGCAGTCCGCGAAGAAGAAGAGGTAGACCTCGTCGTCGGCAGAGAAGATGCCGGCCGGGTGTTTGGAGCGCACGAAGGACACCCACGCGAGCGCTGCGACCGCCACGAAGCTGGACGGCGGCGGCGTGCCGGCGGCGTCCTGCTCATGCGCGGGCGAGAGCTCGGCGACGACGCGCTGCTTCAGGCGGTGCATGGCTTGCACCGAGATGGTGAACGTCCGGCGGGAGAGGTTGGGGCGGATGAAGTGCCCTGCCACGGCGGCCTGCAAACCGCGCGCCCGCGCCAAAATTTTTATTATGTTTATATTACAAAAATATAGCAAAAATAAATGAGAAAACACAGATAGAGAAAAAAAGGGAAGTTGTGCAATCGCAGATGTGCTGATCAACGGGCTGCTGGGCGTGGCTAGGGCATCTCCACGATGGACCATTTGCTCCTTAATAAAATACCCGTGAAGTCGTGTTCTAGAAAAAATAGATCACTTATAATTTATTATCACTAAAAATAAAACAAACCGATAAAAATTCTTGAGAAATAGTTTTTTAATAAATAATAAAATATATAACCACTAAAGAAATGGCTTTGACCTACGATATTTTCACCGCCTATTTGAACGAAACCATCCGTAGTACTTCTTACCGTCGGTTAGTGATATAAATCGGCAGTGAAAATTATTTTCACCAATTGTTCTGTATACCAACCACAGGTGAAAATATTTGCACTGCTATCATCTTTGTAATTAAAAGACCTGTCTGGCCATCTTAGCTCACGAACGGCCTCAAAGTATATAATGGGAAAACCCTAGCCTTCCCTCCCAATCTTCCTCATCTCAAATGCATATCTCCATCCTGACTTCTCAACCACCCCTCTCTCTCTCGTCTCCCTATGCCTCCTCTTCCCTCCTCTCCTCTTCTCGAGTTCATTCGGTGGCGGTGCGGGGGTTGCACCCCCCTCCGGTGGCCACGCAGAGGCCACTCCCCCCGGATTGGTGGCGCAGGAGGCTAGATCCGTGCGTGCACCACCGTCCTTGCTTCGTGGACGGCTACCGCGACCTCGACCTTCTTCTGTTGACGGCCATCGCTCGCGATCTCGACCTTCCTCCTCCTCGCCTCGGTGTGGGATAGGAGCACGGCAGTAGGCTCCGAGAACGGTAGACGGGCTGGGCCAGTGAGCTTGGTCAGCGTTTTCTTTTTTCTGATTATCACCGCTGGTCCACAAAAGGAGCTGGCACTGATGACCATTTTCAGGCCCTGTTTGGCAGGGTTTCTCTAGCGGCTTCAGAGCCGCTTGGAGCCGTTTTCTGCTAAACGGGGTAAAATAAAACGGCTCCACCGATGAAGCCCCTAAAAACGTGCTCTCACAGAGCTTTGGGGTGGGAAGGAGCCAAAAATAGTGGCTTCTCTCGGCTTCACCTCATTCTACATGGCGTTCTCTGAGAGCATATTTTAAGAAAAACTATATGTGAAGCTGTTTTGCCAAACGATTTATCAAAACGGCTATAGCTCCACCCATAGAGCTGTTCATAAAGCTGAAGCCTCCAAAAAGAGCTTCATGGATGAAGTGGAGCCGTGCCAAATGGTGGTTCGAACCGGCAGCGATAACCCATCTCATCATCATCACCACTTTCACCGCAGATGGGCAAAATCGACGGTGATGAGGTCTTTGGAGGTGAGCGTTATGTAGTAGTGCACTATTGACCTCACATGTATGCTACGAAAAAATAGTTGTACTAATGACATACCAATATCAATTCTTCTGTAGCAGTGCACTATGCACCTCGCATGGGTGAATTCGTAGAAGCAGAAATGGAAAACTAGGGAAGCATGATACAAGAGAAGTTGCTGACCAATTTGGAGACATGTCTCGCAATTTTAGAATTGGTTGAGGATGCGGTCTACACGTCTGGTTGAACCGGACCTAATTCGTTTGATCTTTCCCCAGTAGTAGCAGTGGGCCTATTCGTTTTGCTGATAAGCCATGGCTAAAAGTATTGTTGGCTAATTTATTGTGAGAGAAAAATATTGTTCGTTGGATGAAAAAGTATGGCTTATAAACCAAGCGAACAGGGCAAGTAGTATTCAAGTGACTCACTCAATTTGCTACCAACTAATATATATTTATATGATATACGGCTTATAAACCAAGCGAACAGAGCGAGTAGTATTCAAGTGACTCACTCGATTTGCTACCAACTAGTATATATTTATATGATACCTGTTGTCAAAAACTCAGGTACCTGAAGGGCTCATATCACTGAAGTTCTATATCTAATCTGGATCCGATAAAACAGAGGCAGAAAAAAACTGTAAAAGTGATAAAATAGAGGCAGAAAACACTGCAAAGTGACAAGATAACACGACAGCAGAGCCAAAAACGGCAATTTGTTCATTTGATGATGTGCGGTGGGTGTGGGTGGCTTGGCTTTGAACGGGAGAGACCTATCTAGGCGCCAGCCACAGTCGTGTCGTAGTCGCACACGAACGCAGCCGCCGCCTTGCTTCACTGTTGAATGCTGCTGGCCGGGCGGCGGCGGCAGGCGGCAGGCGGCGACCTTTGCAGCGTACGGAAGAACCAAACTACCGGGAAGACAAGAAACAAGTCCGACCGACCGAGAAGGCGCAGGCATCATACGTACCACTGGCAGATCGGGCACCCACTTCCGCAACACGCTCCTGGCCAGCTCCTCGCCGCCGGGGAGCCTGATCGCCGTGCGGTCGAACGTCGTCGGTGGCTCGGCCGCGGCGTCGGCGTCGCCTTCCCCGCGGCACGCCGCCGCCCACGCGCGGAGGAACCTGCACACGGACCGTCCGTCGACCGCGGCGTGGTGCATCGCCACGCCGACCGCCAGCCCGCCGCCCCGCAGCCGCGTGACCTGCGCGGCCAGCGTCTCCGCGGGGAGCACCCCTGTGTCGAGCGCCGGCACGAGCCGCGCGAACGCCTCCACGTCGTGGTCCTCGTCCCCGGCGAGGCGGCGGGCCGCGTAGGCGTCGAAGTCCTCGCTCGCCTCCGCGACGAGGAACCTGACCCCGCTGGCGACGCCGCCCGCGGTGCAGTCGAAGGCTGCGTCGCCCGTGGGCGGAACGTGCACGATCCGCCCGGCCAGCGTGGGGAACCGCGCGAGGGTCTCCACGAACGACGCGCGGAGGGCGTCCACGGCGGCATGCTGCCGTCGCCGTCGCCGTCGTTGACGAAGATGAGCACGTGCTGGATGAGCGGGAGCGTGATCCACTGCGCGTCGAGCGCGGACAGACGGATGGGCTCCGGCGGCAGCGCCGCGGTGGGCGGCACGGCCACGCGGGCCTCTTCGATGATCTTGACGGACGGTGGCATGGCGCCATGGCACGGCACACACAAGTTGGTTGCTGTTGGTATGGTGTCGGCTGTGGTGACGAGAGTTTTTTGTTGAAGCAAAAGAAGAGGATGTGTTGACTTCCTAGAAATACGGTATGCAGCCAGACGCACTTAATGCACCGACTATCTCTTGGTTTGACTTCCTAGAAACGATGGCAATCTCATTCCTCACGAGCCTTGGCTTAGGGCACCTACAATACTGATTCTACCATAGTATCTAAGTCTATTTATTATATTTTGCTGATGTGACAGTATTTTTATTGAAGAGGGATGGAGAAAAACCAAGAAATCATTTCTTGATAAGAAACTGAGTTTACAATTCGTTCAAGGTCGGTAGAAACCACGAGATGCGCGTTGGGGGAGGCCAGCTTCGTTTCCATGGATCCCGCACGCCATCCACCCCCGCCGCCGCTATTCCTCCCCTCTTCCGCGCGCGCGGTCGCCCGAGCCCGCCATCTCCCGCGCGCCCTCTCGCAGATCTTCGGCAGTCGCCACCAATCTTGAGGAGACGCACCTCTTTCCGGCCTCGCCCCCTCCCGCTCTCCCGGCAATCTCCCTCCCTCTACCGCCCATCTCCCATCGAGGTTCAAATTCATATCCATCCATATCTCCCTTCGATTCCATCTCCTCCCCCATCCAGTGTGACCCCAAAACATCCCCAAATCTCACAGATGAATCGATTAACAAAGACCGATTCTCGGCGAGGCAAAGGTATCCCTAGAACTCATCCTCCATCCGTTCGTGCTACTGGGACCTGTGCTCCGGATGCCGGAGCTACTGCAACCCGTGCTCAAGCTGGAGCCACCGGTGTTCCTCATGATGCTGGTGTTAGGAATTGTGCTCCTCGAATGGGTGCTTCTCCCGTTGGTGGATGGTGGCCAACGTCATCTCCTAGCGAAGGGTAAGTCTTTACAGAAGTGGATCTGTGGATTATAGCTAGATTGTTTATCTGCATTGTGTAATCAGGCTGACATATGCAGTGCAATATACCAAAGCTTATTATCTTGCAGATGGCATATACCCAGAGTGGGTTGTTTTTATTAAGTACGTACGTGCACCACAATTAGCTGAACACAAGCTGTTTTCAGAACATCAAGAGGGGGCAAGAAAAGATGTTGAATGTGCATTTGGGATTTTGCAATCTCGTTTTTGCATTTTGTGTCGGCCAGCATGTCTATATGAACAAGGGAATCTTGAGAATATCACGTTAGCTTGTATAATACTTCACAACATGATAATCAAAGATGAGAAGGATATAGACGACGATTCCTTTGACTTGAACAAGGAAGCAACCACGTCTACTGTTCAGCCATCTATAATCACTCATGGACATGATCCGGTGATGGAGGAGGTACTACAAAGAAACGTTGAGATCCGTGATCGTGAAGTTCATGGGCAACTTCAATCTGATTGGATTGATCACATCTGGCAAAAATTTGGGCATCAAACTAATTAGGTAAAATTATGCATTCAAATATATACTAGCCTTCATGTTCAAGAACCATTGAGATTTTGTTAATTCAACCTCCTGTATAATTTTGTTAATTTACTAACCCATCCTCATTTTTTAACAGTTCTGCTTGGAGGATGATGGACATGGAGTTCTGTGTGGAGGATGATGATGGATGGCTTAATAGTATCTAAATATTATTATCTATTTAGTTTGCAATTCATATCTAGGTTTCTATTGCTATTGTAATGGATGACTCATGGCTATTATCTAAACTTTTATCGAAGTTCTGTGTGGAATATGTTTTTGATGCTTCTGGCGATATACTACTGTATGCGTTGTGTTCAATTGCCAAACCATCATATTTTTGGATGCTTCTGATGATATACTGCTGTATCTGTATAGTTCAGTTGCCGGTTGATCATATCCTGTATGGTTCTAGAAGGTTACATCCTTATCCTATCGATGTTGCATAGCTGCTGAGAGGTATAGCGTGGATCACATGGTAATACGCCACAGCTGATCAGCTTTCTTTGTGTTGCATAATAAATTTCTTTATCTATAGAAATTCCGATTACAAACTTTGCATTGAGGAGCATGGTTTCATGTGATGATGTCTTTGAGGTATAAAAACTATAGGTAGAATCTGCATTGTGAGTGCCCTTATGGCACCTGGATGGCTGATTTATATGCTAACTCTAAGTATTTTTTTTATATTGTTAATAAAGAGAGAAAAGCTGGCTCTTGATCAAGAGCTACACTTATACACACATTCTAAGATTATATGAGAATGTTATGTGAGGTCTTATCATACTATAAGAGCTAGACTTATATACACATTATAAAATTATATGAGAATGTTATGTGGGGTCTTATCATACTATGAACTATTGCTAAAAGGTAGTATTATTGGAGAAGTTAGTTTAGAGCTAGTAACTGACTTATATGTTGCACGTGCCCTTAGCTAGACAGCTATGGCGTATTTGTTTGTCTGTCTGGACGGCTGGACCACACACTGTCCCGCCCGTATCAGCCAGGCCAGGATGCAGGCAGATCGGTCCGCCTGCTGCAACTGAGTTTGTTCGTGTATGCGCCATCATCTTCGAGTACGTGGTGAGCGGCAAGGGAATGGATTGGCCTCCTTTGTTGCGCCCAGCAAGAACCTATCCACGACATTGTCCAGCCAGTTACTCGTAGCCTCTTCAACAGCCACACAATACACTCAAATTTTACATTGGAGCTATGGAAATGGGATAGGAAAAGATTTGCTCCTTATATGTGCATGTAAAAATCAAATTTCTAGCATATCTATATAGGACTTGGATTTATGGTCCACACTATATATATTTATGCATGTGAAAAGAACAAATATAAATATTTATTTGGTTAACATTGGCGTATACGCTTATAAATATAATAGTATATTTATCAGGGTGGCTGCAGACCATTCGTGTTAGCTTAAATAGCCCCTTAAAAATCGATTTGCCCGGTGTGGCTCCGATATAGGGGCAGATGAAAACTGTTTAAACGGTCAACCGAATTTTTTTCTTAAATAAATCGTAGTTTACATCGAAATATTTAAAAAATAATTCGAGGTGACCCCACACACGCGTGACAGGTCACGTGTTTTTTTTTGCATGAAAGATGCAGAGCGCGCAGCTATCAGGGCTCAAACCTGCGACCCAGCATTTGTGTGCTCCTCCTCCGATGACACACTTGTGTCCATTTATGATATTTGTCCTCTTTATTTTATCTTTATTTGATTTTAAAATGAGTATTTAGGACTCTAAACGAATTCAAATAAAAAAGTTGTCAACTATAAAGTTTTATAACTTTTGGAGATCTACAACTTTGATTTTGGTTATTTGTCCATCCTAGGTCCCTTGAAGAATTTGAATTTCAAATTTGATAAACTCAAACATATTTTTTCATGGATATATGATTTCAAATGAAAAATTGTCAACTATAGAGTTTTATAATTTTTTGGGGTCTACACAACGATCGATTCGGTCATTGATCTCCATTCCAGGTCGTTTGAAAAATTTAAATTTCAAATGTGAGGAAATTCAAACGTAACTTTCCTTGAATAGATGATTTCAAATAAAAAATTTGTCAACTATAAATTTGTACAACTTTTCGAGATCTACGACTTTCGTTTTGGTCATTTCTCCATCCGAGGCGGTTTGAAAAATTTGAAGTTTAGAGGTGAGAAATTTAAATGTAATTTTCCTTGATATATGATTTTAAATAAAAAAATTGTCAACTAGAAAGTTGTACGATGTTTTGAGATATACAACTTTTATTTTTGTCATTTCTCCATTAAAGATCGTTTGAAAAATCCAAATTTCAATACTTAATTTTACTATTGGGCGTCCACTTTTAGAGGTGGTTCTAGATCCAGCCATCTCTATAAATTGATTTATGGAGGCGGCTGGATCTAAAGCCGTCCTATATGTAGGGGCTATTTGTAGAGGCGACTGAAAAATAACAGCTAACCTTATAAATGCATTTATAGAGACACCTTGTTTTGGAAACTATTTTTTAGAAGAGATTTTGGATTGAGCCCCTAAAAAAGAGACCTCTCTATGAATGCTTTTTGTAGTAGTGATAGGCCACTATTTAATTCTTGAAAACAGAAAATTTGGAGGCATACTCTCATTCACGCTCCTCTAGTCCATAGTCCCTTGTTCCAGTCCTTCAGATATAATCATACGATCATGATTTATACACGGTACAAGGAAAGGACCCAATTTATGTATAACTACTAGCAAGTACTCCCTCTGTAAAACAGAAAGCAATTATGGGATCCGTGCCAATCAAACTAACTTAAATTTGATCATATTTATAGTAAATAGTATTAGCATTTATGTCTTCAAATAAATTTATTATGAAAAAACATTCTGTAACTAATTTTATGATACTTATTTTGTGTCATGAAAGTTGGTATTTTTTAATATAAATTTAGTCAAAGTTTAAATTGTTGAACTCATTGAAAAGCGAAACATACATTCCTTTATGGACGGCCTCCTAAAGCATGTGTAAAACGCCAAATGGTCTTTTTTTTTGGGTCCATTTGTCCATGAAAAGAAGAGTTTTGCATGTTAGCACGTTATGTTGAAGAAACATGCATGTAATCATGCTGTAATGTGACGCCATCTCGTATCCAAGCATCATTGCACTGTCCAGCGGGCAGCGGTATATAGGTAGATCGATCTAATCTTCTTTGTTTTATAATTACTGTGCTTTTATTGTTTCTAACTCCATGTTCATGTTTATACTATATATTTATGTCATTGTGTTATCCTAAACGCTAAAAAATAAACAGTCAGCCACCCTCTGTTTAGAGTTTAGACGGTTTAGACGACCGACAAGATGGTATAAACGGTTTGCACTGTAGTAGTAAATATACATGTAAAATGATATTTTTATATAAAATTTTAAATATAATTTAAAGCATGAACATAGTTACACAATTTAATATATAGATAATAAACAATTGGAAAATTCCTTTCTACACACGCTACCCGCTCCTAGCCGTACGCGGTCTACCCGTCCCATCGCGCCACCAACGAGCTACGTTTGCTCTTAGCGGGTCAAGAAGGAAGAGCAGGAGAGGCTGCTGAAGGCGAAGAAGAAGAGGATGATGATGATGAGGACTCAGAAGAGGGATATGTAAGTTCCGATGATCCTTTTCCACGTGAAGCCAGAAGGAGGCAAACGGAGAAAGATTTAGACAAGGATTTTAACCCAAACGAGGAGGTAGGGATAAAGCCTTAGCTTGTAAATTTTGTTAAAACTTTGGCTATGTTACCTCTGCTAACACTTTGACCTGTCGTATATACAGGTCCCTCCTGAAACTCAGAAAAGACGACGTCGATGTCCGCGACATCTCGTCGGACAAGACGGAGTAGAGGAAAGGAGAGCAGAGGCAACAGCCACAGAGACAGACATTAAGGCCTTTGCTCCACAACCTCAAGACACAACCACGAACACGACTACCAAGCCAAAGAGGAAACGAGGGGATAGAAAAGCAAACCAATATCTAGATAAGGCATGCTATGTAATAACGGAGGTCGGGTCAGCATGGGAGATCCTTGAGCCGAAGGAATTCAGAGGACGATTCTGTAATGTGATCGGGCCCTAATAAGAGATAAATTGAACCCAGCAATCCCTAACTAGAAAGAGG